ACTGAACTCTGAGCGCCGCCGAGGAGTCATGAAGTGAGTGGATCAGTGAGTAGGCACTCATGCAGAGGCAGGAAGCAGGCGTCTTAAACCGCGTTTCTTTGATGTTTGTGCTTTGTCAGAAAGCTCAAAGAGCAGAGCAGAGAGGACCAGAGGGCAAGAGGGGATGACAGGTGACAGATGTCCCGAGTCAGGCTCGAACCTAGGACATTGCGGATAGATCTTCAAGCTTCAGCATGTTTCAAAGCTGTTCTTACTTTTTTCTATCTGAACTTACAGCTGGGATGAGAAACAAGGAGACTTGTACATGCCCTGCGTCTTGCTTTCTTCCATTGTCTCCCCTCATCTTTTTGTCTGAGCTCTGTTGAAGTTGATTCTATCCAGGTTTCCACACCTGCAGCAGAACATCTTTGATTGAGCAATGCATTATCACTTGGTAGGTTGCTGCAGATTAATTAAGATGACTTGCAATCTTTCAGTCCGGTTTAATTCCTGTGTTAAACAAAGAAATGTGAATCAATAGTGCAGACAGTTTATACAGCAATAAAATAAGGGGGTTTTGGCAAGAAACATTATTATGTCTCTGTGGAAGTGCTAAAAAGAGGTGTTTGCCAACATGATGAACGTTGCTTCCACAAGTTGACATATTTCAGTTTAAAACCGAATTTTGGAGCACACGCTGTTCCAAAGTGGGTGGGTTGGACCAAAACAAACAAAGAATGTGACTCAGCGTTATTGTGAGCGGTCATAAAGTCATTCTTCTCCAAAGTGAATACATTCCAGAAACTGCGGCTTTTCAGTAAAAAAGGGAACAGGGATTGAATAACTTTCTCCACCTTCTGCTACACAACAGTGTGAAAATAGGCGGTTTCCCAAGCAGTTGGAAGTAACTTTTTAGTTAAGTTTTTAGTTTGTTTGTATATTATCAACACTCTTGTTTTTGCAGGCTTTCGTGAAGCTGTCATATCAGCAGAATCCGTAAGCACTCTAGCAATTTTTGTAGTGAAAAAGTAAACCTGCTCAACCTTTGCTGGTGCAGCGGGTTTTTTGGTCCCAGAATCTCAATTTGAGCCTGGCAGGAAGAAAGATGTTCTGCCATGGCTGTCTGCGGAAATTTGTATCAAACGCACCCTCCGCAGTGGGATCTCTCTCCTAGTTCATTCCACAGGTGCTGTCTGGGTCTTACTGAGAGGGGCCTGGAAGGAAATCTTACATAGTACATAGAACTGATTGGGGTGCTTGAACTTCATGTGTAAGAAATGGAACCATTTGTACCCAAATAACCTGATTCTTTTAGAACATGGCTGCGTCTGAAGAACCAAGCACTTGGGGGCCAATCTTATAGGGTATCCTACTCAGATTTATCAGATGTCCAGCATGCTTAGCAGTCCCTTTCATTGCAGCTCATTCAACTCTTTATTTCATCATGGGGCTTCTGTTAAAAAATACCTAAATACCTTGAGACACTCATTTGATCAATTGTAGATAGGGATTTGGAGGCTTTGTCCCAGTCAGCAAGACAGGTGTTTGCACAGAGCATGATTTTGTGTGATTGTCAGCCTGTGTAGCTGAATTGTCTTGCTGCGGTAAACGCTGCTGATTTACCACTTCATGGAGCATAAAACAAACTCTCCAAATCAAATGCAAATACTGTCTGACCTCCAGGCTTGATAGGTAGTGTCATGCCCTGGAAATGTGTGTTTATTGGAATCATATCCCTCCAGGAGCTGCAGCAGATGCCGAGGCAGCTGGCTATTTTAGCCACGAATTCACCCAAATTGAATTCATCCGCTGGGTATCTGGATCGCTCCCTCCCTCCTCTTCTCACTTGTTCCGTCCACAAGTGTTGAGGAAGTGATTGAAAGGCGTTTCTGTTTTCCCAGAAACATTAAGTGCCCACCTGTTTTATGCGCATTTTCAATTTGCGCCTTAAAAACCTGAGTGGAAATGCAATTTTTCCTCTTCCCCGTGGAGAAGGAGTTGTAGATAAAAGCAAAATGCAAAAAAAGTGTAATGGAAACTGACTTTGTGACTGTATATGTGTGTATAAGCGTGTGATTTATTTGTCACTTGTCACTGAAGACATGAAACAAATTTCCATTATGTTTCCCACATCATTTTTGTTCACGTTTTGATGGACGCTCTTTTAATTGCATCATCTTGTCGCACCCTCTTCCTCTGCAAAGGTTAAACAATGTTACAGATCAAACTCTTCTTCTCGTCTTCCTCCCAGGGAGGAAGTTTGTAGATGTCAGCTGGAGCAGCACATGCACTTCTTAATTTCTCTCTTTTTCACACACACTTTCTCCATCCTCCTGCTTTCCTGTTTGTTTACTTGCCCCCTGATGGGATGTGGTCAGCTTTTGCGGTGTGTGTTTTTCTGTGTGTCAGTGAGCCCTGTGTGGGTTCATTTATGTGCCTTTTGTTGCAACGCCGGTTTTAGTGGCTGTGTGTGTGTATTTAAATGTGTGAGTTTCCCTGTGACGGCTCTCATTTTTTCGGGTTTGCGCTTTACGACTTCTCATCATGGAGAAAGTCGCTGACGGAAACCGCACATCGATGCGAACTTCTGAGAGGCGGCCTCTTTAAAGGAGCCAAATATCTCTCTTCCAAGAAAAAGAAAAGAGCGGGAGAGAAATGTTTTTAATTGAATGCGGTGTGTGAGGTAAACGAGCGGAAAAAGGGGTTATTTCATCATGAGAAATGGTAAAGTTTTATGAGGGAATTCCTTGGGACATTCGAGATTCTGAGAAGCCTGTTCTAGTCACAAAAACTTAAGAAATTTGAAAACACATTTCTGAGGGATTTTAACCGTTCACAGTCCTTTAAGCTGTTTTTTAGCTGTGTCTTTATATGGGCTGGTACAGATAAAAAAAAAAATGTTTTGGTACCAGAATCACAATTTGAACCTAGCAGGAAGAAAGACACTCCTCCGTGGCTGTCTGCGGAAATTTGTATCAAATGCACCCTTCCTTGGGAACTATTTTCTAGTTGATGTAAGTCCTCAGGTGCTGTCTGGGTCTTAGTGAGTGGGGTCTGGAAGGAAATCTTAGAAAGTTTGGTGATTAGAGGAAAAAAAAAATACATGGGTGAAGTTTTACGGGACATAAAACTGCTGGGGGCGCTTGAACCAGTATTTCTGGCATAGAGGAAAGCCCTAAAACACTCACAACTTCTTTGATCCTCACGTTCATGTGTGGAAAAAAAAATCTAACTATTTGTACACAAAATAAGCTGATTCTTTTAGTACATGTCTATGTTCGTGGGACCAAGCACTTGGAGGCCAAATGCAACTCGCGTCTTTGGTCTTCGGGCCCTGGTGAAACCGCAGCAGCTGTTGAGAGCAGTCCGTCTCTTGACAGACAAAGCGTTGCTTATCGTTCGGCTTATGAGCTGTAATGAAAGACGAAGCGGCCGTTAAGAGGTTTAGGTGACAATACAAAAGATTATCAGACATGCTGCTCTTCCGGGTTTAGAAAGTAATTCCACCTGTTAAAGCAAACCTCTTAATTAAGACCCGTGGTAAAAGTAATTCATTTAAAATCATAGAAAGATTCCATTTCTTGTGCAAGGTTTGCTTTCTGGTCAAATATTTGCTCTTCTATTTAATTTTTATCTGTATTTGCTTTCTCCAATGTGCTCTGTAAAGGAATTTGTGGTCCAGCAGATGTGTGAAAGATTGTGCGTTGTCTTTCACTTGAGGACTGTCGGTGCAGGCTGTGTTTGCCGGGATCATTTACAAATCCCCTGGAGAAAGATCATAAAGTGTAGTTCTCCGTGCCAAAGCTTGATGAAATATTTGTGTTTGAGTAGTGGAGATGTGCAGGGAACCCGGGTGTTTGGACAGCACTGCCTGGCAGGACATTTAGCGCTGCGCTGAAGAGAAGACTGAGAGGCAGAGCAGCGTGCTGTTAGGATAGGCAGCATGAAGAAGAAGTCAACACTTGTTTCGTGTGGTCAGAGGTTAGAGATGACTATAAGGCTAAAGTAGCCTTCAGGGGCAAAGTCAAGAACTCCCCTTTCCTCCCTTTACGCTGTAAATGTACAGTTTGTTTTGGGGTTTATCTTAGCTTCTCCAACACCAACACATCAGCCCTTTTTCTTTTCTTACTCTGTCTCAATATTTTCTCTGAAGTGCCTTTTGACAGTAAATGCATAGTTTTTGTAGTTTTGGGGAGTTTTGGAACTCAGACTCTCAGTCATCCATGTTTGTGGTTTCATTACCCAACTTATGTAATGAATAAAATGCTCTTTGGCAGCCACAATGCTTGGTTCATGTCAGCTACTTATTATATAAGAGGAAACATAGACATCAAAAAGTCACATAAAGTCACGTACATTGACTCTTTGCTGCTTACAATTACAGATCTGTATCCATGGCCCCTTTAGTGCATAAACTGATGGGGAAAATTACTCCAATTTAACCAATTTTGCCTTTATTGAACAGCTTTTGAATGTGTGTACTTAATGCACATAAAGGTACTTGGGTGTAAAAATAGCTGTTCGTTATAATGAAATCAGAATTTGAATGCTCAAATGGACTCTTGGTCCAAAACATTCATGTTCAAAGGATGTAATTTAATTTTTTTAAATATTTTTTATTGAAGATTAATGCGAAATGGAATATCTCTACAGAGCAACAGAAGGTATTTCCGCATCTACGGCATTCTTAGATTTAGCTGTCATCAGATAGCAGGCTTTCGCAGGTAGATGGGGTTGCCAGTGATAGAACATAGCCGAGGATCCTCTCAGATCATAATATTATTAACAACATTGAACTTTTAGTAATGCTCATTCCATGCTGCCACTGATATATTGTGTGCTGATAATGTTGCTGTCATGTAAATGTTTTAACGAATAGGTCTAACTTAATGGCCAATCTGCTGGATCCAAATCTGTAAAACCTGTAAAACCTGTTAGGCACACACACACACACACACACACCTCCTCTCGGTCTCTGTTTCTCACACACACGGACTGAGTGTTTTCTTCTGTCTTTGCAGATTTACACAGACTGGGCCAATCATTACCTGGCCAAGTCCGGCTGTCAGCGCCTCATCAAGGACCTGAGCCAGGACGTCACCGATGGAGTCCTGCTGGCACAGATCATCCAGATCATAGGTAGGCATCTACAGACACACACACACACTATCACACATCTACTGTAGCTACTCTCTATTATCTACTGCTGTGTCTAGTATGTTATCTGCATGATAATCATGACGGAACAGAAATGTCGACCTCGGTTACAAAGCAGTTAGAATGTCTTACTTTGGGTATAACTTTCAGTGTGTGAGAAAAATATGTATAAAGCAAAGATGAACAGATCTACGTCTTATCAGCAGAAACAAAACACTGCGTGTGTTTATAATTCATTCTGTCTGGTAGATGAAGCGACCACCCACCCACACACACACACACACACACACACACACACACTCTCTATGTTTGGTCTTTGTTGTGGTGAGTTAAAGGCAAGCTGTTCCTCAGTCTGAAATTTGGGCCAAATCGCAGCAGCCCTCCCTTGTATTGGGTGTTTGGGTGAGCTACAGCAGCAGAGATCTATGGCTCTGACACCCAGGGGTGCAGGGGCATGGGTCTCCCATTGGATAGAATGTACTTCTATTTCTCTCTCTCTCTCTCTCCCCTTCGCTTTTTATGTCTCAATGTCTTTCTTCCTTTCTGGCGCTCTCGTTCTCTTCGTCCCGCTCTGTCTGTCACACTCTCACAGTTGAACGTTTTTTAGGTTTCTCTCCCTTGTGTCTTTCATTTTGGTCTCTAATCTAACGTTCTCTTCTTCTCCTGTTTTCACCAGCCCTTGCTCTAATCAGTGTTGGGCAGTGACACATTACTGACTAATTACTATTACGATAGTAATGTGATTATCCTTTTCAACAAAGGGTAGTGTAAGGGAGTACAGTGAAAAGGCAGTAATAGCATTACAGTTACTAATCTCAGAAACACTCCACTTTGTTATTTGGAGAGGTTTTTGGAGAGATGGTCTTGTGGACAGACTGGTCAGGTCAGGGATGTGTTAGCTTGGTGCAGCAGCTAGAGGTGGGGGGAGGCGACTATCCTACGTCAAAAGAGTAACTTATTTACACGTTGCTTCCTCTTAGCTGGCTGCCAAGTCGATTGTAAGCCTAAGATTGGCCTCACCAGAAAGTCTACAGCACACGCATGCTGATCTGTTATAACTACGTTGGCTGTCAAACAGGCACAGGATCACACATTTTTTGGTAAGTTCGGTGCACGTGTACAGCCTGTGTGGTCATGAATTTTAGGCTGCACGACGATGGGCTGGGCGCTGACCTTGCAGGCATGGGCAGCTGATGAATTACAGGACATGTAGACTCTCCATGCCACACAGATTTGGAAAGTATAATCTGGGTTTTAGGCTTCACCCTACTTCCTCCTTTGCTGCCGTCGACAGTCACTAGAGGTCACTACCACAATAAACGTCAATATGGATTGTAAAAATGAGCAGCACAAACAAACTATTTGGTCGTTTTTCTGGGGAGGACAGGCTGTTACTTTCACCTGACAAGGACCTCTTCTGCCCGGGCAAATTACTGATAGTTGTCTCAGAAGCAAAGGCGAAAACGCAAAATCTGTTAGGAAAGATGTCAGGGAGAATGGATGGATCAAAATAGTGAATTTGTGATTTTTGATATTGAGCTATATAAATAACATTGACTTGGTATGACCTTTTCACTCTTCCCATCCGGCGAATGTTGATGTCATTAAACTATAATGACAGTCTTTCCCTTACCATAAACAAGTATGTTTTAATCAAACCCTAACCAGAGAGGTGGGATACAAGAAAACAGTCATATCAATAATTTTTGCATCAGTCATATGCATTGTTGTAAGCACTGCCGATAGAGACATCAGATCGGAAAATGTAATTTGCATTGTTTATGGAAGAAGGACAATGACAGACTAGTTTTAAGGAGTTGTTTCACCTGGTTTTGTTGAAAGTTACACGCCGTGTGAACCCTGTATCTTCACTGTGAGGATGGGACCTCTGGAGGGCTGCGTGGAGTCACGGAGGCGAAGCTAGTCAATGGTCTGTAAATGCCTCCAAACTGAGTGCTTACTGAACTGAGTTACTGAAGTAATAATCACACAGTAGTGAACAGTGAGTAATTCATTACTTTTTTACACAATTGTATCTGTGTCTTGTCAGACACATTTCTCTCACACATTGTGTTCTTCTTACATCTACTGTTGTTGTTCTCTCTCTCGCTTTATTTTTCTTTGTGTCTCCATCACTGTTCTGAACTTTTTCTGTTTCTGGGTCTCCCTCTGTTTATCACACACACACAAACACATTTTCCTCTCTTACATATGCCGTTTTTTTCACAGATGCTGTCTGTGTCCCTAAATCTCTCATTATTTTCAACCCCTGTCTGACTTCCTCTCTCTCTCTCTCTCTCTCTCTCTCTCTCTCTCTCTCTGTCTCTGTTGGATTGAAACTTTACCCTCCCTGCTCGCCCCAACAGACAATGAGGCCAAGCTGGCCTGTCAGTAATTCTCTGGCGGCAGCTGACGAATTAGGCAGCTTTGCTTCCCAGACCTTTCCTGCGTCGCTCTGCGTCTCAACAAACACACACTCATGCATGCACATACACACCCCCTCTCCAATGCAAACCTCAGCAACGGTTTCCTGCTGGATATGTACACCTGAACTCAAAAGTCATTGGACGTCAGGATGGGAAAGTTCAGTATGGGACGACAGTAAAAATCTTTCTTCATTTGCTTTCTCACGCAGCGAATGAGAAGGTGGAGGACATCAATGGCAGCCCCAGAAGCCAGTCGCAAATGGTGAGTGTTTCAGCCTAACTTTTATATCCTTAACTTCACCCATCCTTTAATGCAATGTCACATGACTGGGGATTATTTTTATGAGGAATATTTATCTGAAGCACTGACTTGTAACTGTTCTGCTGTTATGTTGTAATAAAGTTTTACATTTGTAGTTTTATACTGAAACGGACAGAGAGCAACAGTAAAATAAATTACAATTCCTAGATTACAGGGACAGCCAGTGTGGTAATGCAGAGATCACACAACATTTTACAGCATTCAGGTGATGCTGTCATCCACTGACAACAGCAGAACATCCCTTTACCGTCTATATTACAAACCTGTGACTGAAAATGCATACCTCAATCTCTTGTTAAAAGCTGTGAAGTAAAAAAAAAAGATCCAATTTCAGTAGCCAAAACTCTGATATCAGTCTTTCAAACTTGTTCTCAGTGTTCTGTTTTGAATTTGCTGATCAAGAGATGAGAAAATGAGATGTTTCATACAGTTTCATACATTACTCTAGTGGTGGAAAGTAACTTTGTATATTTATTTATGTCTGGACACTTGTTGCTACTTTATACTGCTCGAGGGAAATATTGTATTCTTTACTCCACTACAGGTGACAGATGTTGTGACATGTTACTTTTCAGATTTAGATAATAAAACACAATGCAGTGTAAGGCCAGTGGCTCCCAACCTGTCTGGCTTGTGAGTGTGTTTACTTAAGGCACCGTGTCACATACCAGGGGTCTACGAGTGGTTAGCAGTTCCAAGAAAGAGAGAATTTGCCCTCTAAACTTGTCAGTTTCTTTTAAATTAAATATTTGAGGCACTAATTTGTCAAATTATTCAATATTTCACAAAGATTAAATCACTCACCTGGGCCACAATAAGTGTACTTATACTAATACTTATATTAATACTTTCAAGTATATTATAATACCTATGTATTTTTTCTTAATTATGAGTTTGAATATATGTAGTTCTTGTAATGGAGTATTTTTACATTGTTTTATTGGTACTTTTACTTAAGTAATGGATCCAAATACTTCTTCCTCCACCTACCATGCTCCCTAAATTGGGAACACCTTAACAAACCTTTTACAGTGTACTGTGGTCAGTAGGGACAATATTTAAGAACAAGCAAAGACTGATCCCCGTAGTGTATATACAAAGCCAAAGCACCCAAAGACAAAGTTTCACTGTCACTTGTTAATTTAGATCATGATTTCAAGCAGCCAATAATAGCGGCTCCAATCACAAACCATAACAATCTTTACTATCCAGAATGATGATGATGACCGTAGTAACCACATTGCCACTTGGCCAAAAACACAGTAGAGCCCTCAAAAGTTCAAACCCTTACATATTTGACTTACTATGCCATTTTGAATAATCTGTCTTTCTGGCTGCCACGCGGCTGAGCATTGCTGGCAATGTCGTTTTTCCCTCTGTTAATGAGATGACGGGCTGTATAACCGCTGATTGTCGTCACTGTGAGATAATTACCCTTCACTTTAACTAGAGTTGACTAAGTGTTTATGCAGTGTTGGTTTGCCCTGGCATCTACCCTCCTGCCATTAAAAGTGACTAAAGCTATTTAGCTGCTTTGGCGCGTTTTCTCAGTGAAACACTGTGGGCGAGGAGTGTGTTTGGTCCTGACAGTGTGCATCTTTTGACTGTCAGTCTTTGTGCCCTTTGGTTAGAGCTGTGTTTTGTATATGTTTGGCTTACTGTGTAACATTTTTTGCATTTATTGGATCTTTTTTTTTCTCTGTACCACATGCATTGTCCTGATATGAGTCAGTAATTCAGTGTTTCATCACATTAGAAGAGAGGTTGGTGGATTTGATAAACTCACTGGGGATGTCTCTGAGGAAAATCAGGGAATCTTTCCAAAAGGGTCCCATCGCATGTAGCACACTGTATTTTACAACAGTTTTCAGCTGTTTTATTTTTTACGCCTTGGTGAGTCCAGCTGTAATGGAAGCAAACTGTGCAGTCTGTTAGAAAAAACACATCAAAGAACCAGGAAGGAAGAAAACGTTAAGGTCATGTGAATCCTGGTAACCCAGAATGTCATTGTGTGAGTTCAAAAACCAGTTCTGGAAAGATAAACCTGTGAATTTTCATCTTCTTTTGGTCATATGAAGTGATTTTGCCCCTGGCTAGAAACAGCTGAGTCCAAACTGACACATTGGTCACTTAAGGCGAGCTGCAAGCATGTGGCTCAATAGCAACCAGCGACCTGTGTGTTTGTGTGTGCGTGTGCAACTAGGTCTTTGTCTCAGTCACTTAGTCAGCCCATTGATCTGCTCTGACCCCACAGAGAGTCTTGGTCAGCTTGGGAATCTGAAGTTTGAGGAAGCATGGTTGCTTATAGCGTGGGCGCAAAAGGAAGGAAACATCTGACACACACACACACACACAAACATCCACAAAGATGTAGCCAGCTAGCACAACCACTGTTTGGAAATGGTTTATACTGTGGAAGGTGAAAGGAACAGTGTGTGAAGTAGTTGCTTTGAAGACATGCAAGCTCTGAGTTTGCATCAGGACATTTGAGACAAAAGTAGTCTGCACAAAGTTGGCTGCAGGACTCTATTGAACTCTAAATACGTTTGATAAAACATTTTAATGCACTTTTAATATCTGAGTTAGTCCTCCTGCATCCATATTTCTCTTATATGTTCCATTTTCCCCCCTGTTTATCCACGTTTTGGGGGACAGGAGGGGTTTCTTCTCCACATCGAAGGTCTAAGGATAGCACAGGCAGCCCAATATACTGGGACATGCAGAGACAGTTCCAGTCACTGAAGTACCTATCAGTCTGTGTGACATAATGCTTACAGCTCTTGGTTTGTTGGTAAAAAGTCAGTGTGAACACGAACCAGACCAGAAGTAAAAGACAATTATGTAGCTTTTTTTTTTCTTGGCTGGAGCAAATGAACCAATACCCTAAGAGATGAAGGTGATGACACATGAACATATGGCTCTCCGAGTGCAAAAGTATTTTGTTTGACTTGTTTATCCCATGGGGTTGAACGTGGATATCAATCTGAAACTTTAGTTATTTACTGACAACCCATCCTGAGAAAAACTAGAGCTATTTCTTTTTTTTACTTTTGACTGTATTCTTTATTGAAAACAAGAGCTGTGAATTTTGGAAACCCTGCTGACCACCTAGCACCTGGAGCTTAAACGCCTTGGCCAGAGATATCCCAGTGGCAGCAGCTGTCAGTGGAGGGGCAGATGAGTCTGATTTACTTCCGCTGCACAGATTTTTCCCCATTTGGGACTTGAAAAGGTAATCCCACAGTCACAAGCCTGTTTCTCTAAGTGGAGGGTCGCTGCCCGTCTGGCGAGTGGACAGAGGCCAACTTAGCAGCTGCTGGAAGCTGAGGAGCAGAACCCAGCACGGCACCAGCATCTGCAAGCTTTTCACCTAATCTAGATACATAATACACTCTCTTTGTCTAAACCGGTGTTGACAATGCGAGAGATCTGCAAGTGAGCTGAAGTCTTATCATTTCCTGCAGAGCTAATCCAACAGAACAACTTGGCCGATGTGTGCACGGTCACATCTGCCACCAGCCGCCAATTCCTTTTGTTTCTTTTTTTTCCCATCTAAAGTTATTTTGTTTATTAATAAAAATCTCCAGTTGCATCCATCATCTGATCAAATCAAACTATGTAGTCGCTACATTTCGTTTTCAACTGAACTCTGCCAGCCAGCCCCACTATGTTGCCAATTGGCAGCTGAATACTTAGTCCTTATAATTGGAAGGCCAAAGTGTATCACCTCTGACAGCTCAGAGAGCTCATGGGATAGCACGGCAAAGAAGAGTAGAATTATGAATTAATACCCCCCTCTTTTCCTACCTTTACCTCCTCAACTTGCTCCAATTTGCTCTCATCAAGAACAATATGTAAACGAGTCTGACCTTTGATCTCCCTTCTGTTACAGAATATAATAAAAGATGCATATATAGCGTGCAGGGATCCTCTCTTAATACTGAAAGGTCACACTTTGGTCACTTGATTGCTAATGTGAAACCAAAGATTGAAATGTCACAGCCGTTAAAATGCTTTCCCAAAACGTTCTTTAGATTTAGAATGAAAATAATGCAGTAAAAAGAGAGTAATAGTTACTCTTCCAGCCATGAACTATCAGCTTGTTGATCTTCTCTTAGATCCCCCAAATCCCTGGTTTTACTACTTGTAATACTGCAGACACATTTCCTTTCTTACTGTTTCTCTTGAGGATAGAGCAAACGTGCAGCAATCTGCAATAAAACCTCCACTCTGTCATGGAATGGAATAACAAGTATGTTTCTTTTGCATTTGCTGTAGGCCTGTGAATATCTTTGCATTGTTAATGCAAATGGGATTCTTCAACTCTTGAGGCCTGGCGTTCCCAGTGGGCAGACTGGTCAAAATTGCGAACATGTCCGTTTTTCCCAATAGAGTTTGCGGCTGCTGAGTTTTGGGGAATAGGTTTGGTTGGTGTAGGAACTAATGATTGCTGGGAATTTGTTTCTGAAATTGGTAGCGGGGTGTGTCTACAGAACCATACCCTCAGCCACATATTTGGTCCCGGAAGGAATAATTTGCAACCACTGAGTAAGCCAGTGAAGATGATGAGAATGGGGAATGACATGAGTGTGGTACGTGGGGTTTTCAACTCAGTGGAGATTTGAGTCTGGTTCTGTTTCTCTCCACTGGGTTGAAGATGTCTCCTTTCACTGTTTTTTTGTGATAATAGATAATGGCAGAGAGGACATGGATGTGATTCAGTGGCAAGAGAGTGATGTGAGACAGGAGTTTAGGCTACTCAGAGGAAGAAGATTCTCTTCTATCAGTTCATCTCTCGCTACATTTACAGTTATTCTCCAAAGCGACTTACAATTGCTTAATGTCAGAGGTTGCGTGCCACTTAACTAGGGGTTAAGTGTCTTGCTCAGGGACACAATGGTGGATGGGTCACAGTGGGAACTGAACCCGGCTCTCTCACA